TTAGGATCTGTCACTGAAAAGTGCTTCAGTTATTCAAAATGTCATTGAGGCCAGGCTCATCTCATTATTAGACGTCAGCCATGTTGGATCGTCGGCCATGCCCAGCAAATACATTTTTTCTAAAGGAAATAATTAAAATCAGAGAAGGCTTAGGAATGGAAAGGCATTCAGGGGTACACCCCAACCAAAGTAAACTAAACCCATAGCAAACTATATTAACAAGAGATGTCCAGCTAAATAGACCCATTGTAGCTATTAATCACATCAAAACATTGGTTGGCACATATTTATTTACCTTATTTTAAGAAAGAACCTTACTGAATGGTTATCTTTCTTACATATATCCTGATAAAGACTGCTGGTGTACCCAGTAATAGCTCAAATATATCTCTTTCCTCTCTCCCTCTCTGTAGTCGCTTCACTATTTTTTCCCTGCTCCTCATAAGCTTATCTCTTGCATACATCTGCCTCTGCTTACTACTATAGGTGGATCTGAGGGCCTTTGGAACATATTTATCACTCTTCCTAATACAGCATCCAGTTATAATTGGATTAGAACAAGGACAAGTTCCTCTTTAGCGTGACACTTGAGATTATCCCTGAGACATACAAAGAACTGGTAACTTTGTGGTTGTTATTTGGTGTCAAATTAACTTCAACGTACCATGGCTCCATGAATGGGAGATGTCCAAAACTCCCAGTTATTAACTGCTCTGCTTAGGTCTTACAAACATGGTCAGGGCTTCTTGATTGAGACAATCTACCTGTTTTCCTACTTCTTTCCACCTTAACAGTCATTTTCATCTTTTCCTGGGAGTCATGTCATCTCATGATGTGTCCACATATGCTTCAGTTCAATAGCCTTTTCCTCTGGTTCAAGTTATAAAACCCTTTCATTTGTCTATTTAGCCATCTATGGTATCGCTAGGTCTCTTGTACAGTATCACATTTCAAATAAATTCATTCTGTTCCTGTCGACATTTTGCTCTGCCCAACGTTCACATCCATACATAGAAATCAGAAATACTATGGCCTGGGTGACCGATAAATTGATGATTACCAGGAGCTTTTTATACAGGTCCTTCAGACAAGACTTTAAGACAGGGGTAGGCAACCTTTCCCCTTTAAGGGCCGAGGGACTTCAGCTCCCAGAATCCCAGGAGCTATTGGCCAACATGGGGCTATTGGCCAACATGGCTGAGGCTTCTGGGAGCTGAAGTCCCTCGGCCCTTAAAGGGGAAAGGTTGCCTACCCCTGCTTTAAGATTTGCAATTACTGTAGTATTATTCTTGTTTGAGGAACTGTTTTCGCTGCATTCTAATTCCTTAGTGAAATTATAAACATTGCCATCTTCCTTATGCTATTCCCAATTATCTTCAGGGGCTTTTCATAGCATCTAAGCAGGTATGTAGACAGACTGGACTGGGTATGGCTAGCCTCCTGGGTCACTAGCCAGTGTTGGACATTGGTCACCACCTGTCTTGCTCCCACCAGTCCCTGCCATGAAAGGAAGAAGAAGAAAGAACAAGGAACATGGAGATGGCAGCCCTAGTGGCCTTTCCACATTGAGTGGAAACTGTTTTTCCCCTCTTTCTCCTTCCATTGGTGAAAGAATGTCCAGATGGAGGGATGCTTACATGTGTGTGTGTCTATATGCACCAGCACTGAAGAGAGGCCATATTAAGAGTGGGTTTTCCAGGGGCAGTTGTAAAGACAGCAGGTGGCCCTTGGGGGTATTTCTACGTTTGGTCTCTGGGCTCCTGGCTCTTGAGCTTTGCCATGGCCTTTCATGAAACTGATAGGCTAAAATGTAGTAATAGCCACTGTCCATTCCTATAGATCAAAGTTCCTGTTTTTGTTCACTTAAGTGAAAATTAGTTTTGTGAGCTAACTCACTAAGGACAGAACATAGATATGTGGTCTAATAAATATAAATGTAAAATGTCGCTTTTCCATTATATTAGCCAGCCGTTTGTGGTTAAGCCTCCTCCCCACAATTTATTCTTCAGATTGTTGCAGAGTATGTAAGTTTGATCACTCCCAGAACTGAAAACTTTTTCCACCTGTCTGCCTCCTGCATGACATTTCAGTGAGGATATTCAACTAGCTCACTGAGGACAACTTCAAATTGCTTTGACTTTAGGACTCTTTGCATGTTCCGATGAATGTGCATCAGGGGATATATGTGTCACACTGACTGTCCTCATTCCTATCTCTAGTGCTTGTTCTGTATAACTTCTGAAACTACGGTAGTCACTGTGTGCAATCTGAAACTAGATTCTGTGTGCTATACTAGGGATAGTGCCTCTTCCAGATTCCCCTTCCCTTTTCTCAAATTTACCAATTGTGCATTCGTGTACATACAAGCTTGCCATGTGCTTAGGTTCTGTTAGAAGGTATGCTGGAATGTATGTAGGGATGGGAGCAGGAACAGTAAATACAATCTGTTGGGGCTAGGGGAAGCTTATTTGATGACAGCCAGCATGGTGTAGTGGTTTGAGTGTTGGACTAGGACTCTGGAGACCAGGGTTCAATTCCCCACTTGGCCATGAAACCCACTGGGTGACCTTGGGCAACTCTCAACCTCAGTGGAAGGCAATGGCAAACCTTCTCTGAACAAATCTTGCTAAGAAAACCCTATTATAGGTTTGCCTTGGAGAAGGCCAAGTGGAGGAGGAGCCTTGTAGGGCGAGTGTTTGCTCCTCCTCCTCCTCCTTCACCTCTCCTTCTCTTTGGGAGAAAGCCAAGCAGCAGAGGAGCCTTTCAGGGCATTGTTCGCCCATCCTCACTCTCAGCCACCGCCCAGCCTTCTCCTTGGGAGAAAGCAGGGCAGCGGAGGAAACTTGCAGGCAAGCATTTGTCTCTCCTCCTCTACCACCCCTCCTCCTCGGGAGAAAGCTAAACAGCAGAGGAGCCTTGCAGGGTGAGTTCTTGCCCATCTTCCTTCTCCACTGCCCAGCCTTCTCCTCAGGAGAATGTGGGGTGGTGGAGGAGCCTTGCAGGGCAAGCATTTGCCTGTCCTCCTACTCCTCTGCCTGGCCTTCTCCTTGGGATACAGCTGGGCAGCAGAGAATCCTTGAAGTTGTTCCACATCCTCGTGGGCTGCCTGAAATCCTTTGGCGGGCTGCATGCGGCCCCCAGGCCATATATTGTGCAGGCCTGGTATAAATATTTAAATAAACAGTTTTTCTCTTCAGCTTTTAAAGACTACCTATGATCTTGGTAGATGTCCTGGTTTTTCTAGACTTTCTATTTAAAATAAATTTTAATCAGTGCTTATTCAAGATGTTATGCAAGATGTCCTCAGTGGTCTTTTCTCTTCCTTACCAATATTGTTGCCAGCTTCTACTCCTCATTTATGCCACATGCCAGGAGAATCTAATGCCATACTATTTACCAATGATATGAAGAACCTCTGACATACTAGTCCCATGATGCATAACCTCCAACATTTCACAGATGAAAAACTGAGACATGTGTAGTTAAGCAACATCAGAGTGTATATGATCAAGTGGGCAAGTTATTCATGAGGAGGAATACACAAGTGAAGCATGGCTGCAGCACTTTGCTTTTGCCTGAGTCGACTGGAAAATGTACTGAGTTAACAGTGCAAATTACTTTTACATTCTGCTGTCTTTCCTCTGTTGAATTAACAGAATGCAAACTACTTTTACGTTTTGAACTCAGTTTGCCGCAACTGAGGTAAGCTGGGGATGAAGGGGTAAGATGGGAGGAGGAGAAAGACAATGGAGCATTTTAGAAATAGCTGAAAAAGTGGAACAACAAAGGATTGATTGGGACTGTCCATATGAAACTGGGATAGTTGAAAGTGGTGATGACTAATGAAGGATACTTGCTAATAGTGTGAACTATCAGCTAGGAATCTCTAGTTCAGTTTTTTCCTTTGGAAAGAAATTGCTTAGGTTGCCTCAGGCAAATTCATCATTCCCCCAAGATTAGGAAAATACTTTCTTCTCCTGCTTTCAACACACACACACACACACACACACACACACACACACACACACACACTTTGTGCAGTGTAAATGGAGTCCCAACTGAAGGGCTTTAAAATAGCTTTGAAAAATACAGCTACTTGAAGGTAGCTATTTGCAAGGAAAATTGAGGGTGTGTATATGGAGTGCTTTCAGTATTCAAAGAGTTTTATATTAATGCCAAGTGTATTTGATATTATTTTTTCTTTGAACAGCTGTTTGGCAATGTCAGGGGTGGAGAAGGTTTTTGCTTGTTTGAACAAGGCCACCGTACAGCACAGAAGCAAGCGATGCACACCATGGAGGCAGTGAAACTTGTGGAACATAGCTTGAAAACGACATTAATAAAACTTGTGTCTCATCTCTTTGGTGATGGTAGGTGCCCTACAAACTAATTCTGTGGTCTTTGCTAATTCTGTTGCAATGTATTTGTACATCCTGGGCATTCCCAGAAGCAGTAGAAATGTTGCAATAATGTTGCAATAATGCCACCTTCCACAACATCTTCCAAAACTCCACTGCCACCTACCAGTCACAGAGTGGCTCTCTAATGATGCTCTCATGTTTTCCGTACATGGAAAACACTAACATCATATACAGACAATGCTGTCATAATCTCTGACTGTCCTTTCTCACCATACACTTATTATGCCAAGAAGAGCTGACTGACTGCTGCCTGGCAGCAATTTACTGGCTTTCCCTTATCCTTGCCAGTTGGTGCATAAAGATTTAAGAGCAATCCTATTTCATTCCTTTGTGTTAGATTGCAATAGGATTGCATTCTCTGTATTTTGCAGAATGGTGACCTACGACCCTCCAGAAATTGTCGGACTGCAACTCCCATAAGCTCTAGCAAACACAGTCAGTGGTGAAGGTTAGTGGGAGTTGCAGTCAACAATACTGGGAAGATTACAAGTTGCTCACCTCAGTGTATTAAATTGCTATTTATTATTTATTGTATGACAAAAAAGAATGAAGGGAAGGCAGTACTTTATACAGTTGGCCCTTTGTATCCATGGGAGAGCCATTCCAGAATGCCCCCCCCCATAAGAAAAAATGTGGGACCAAAAGGCCCATTGTCCTTTTTTTCTGGTCAGGGTTCAACTTGTGGTCGCCTAAGTAGGAAACTACTTGAAGGCACACAACAACAACAACAACAGCAACAACAACATAAAATATTTAAGGGGGGCGTCGACGGGTGGAGAGAATAGGTTTGCCAGATGAAATCAGCACCTCCATTGAAAACAACGGGACTTGCCATCCGCAGGTGCACAGATCTGCAGATGGCAAACCCCATTTAACCACTGAGCCCTGGTGGCGCAGTGGTTAAATGCCTGTACTGCAGCCACTCACTCATAAACCACAAGGTTGCGAGTTCAATACTAGCCAGGGCTCAGGCTAGACTCAGTCCTGCATCCTTCCGAGGTCGCTAAAATGAGTACCCAGCTGTTGGGGGGCAATGAGCTTACAGTTGTAAACTGCTTAGACATCCCATAGCACGATACGAAGCGGTATATAAATAAAGCTGCTTTGCTTTGCTTTGCTTTGCTTTAAACTGAAGAAATAAATTTAGAACTTTGCTACCATACTTCTCGAATTCGTCACTGTTAATTGCTTAAGTGGAGATTAAGCAATTAATCTCCACTTAACTGTTAATGGCAATTGCTTAAATGGAGATTAATTTTAAACAAAGGTCTCTTATGATGCTGTACTGATTTTAATCTTTATTTTAAAGTAGAAATAGTTTTACTTCTGTTGTCATTTAATACTAATTTAATCTTAATTTTGTGTGTTTTAATTATGTGAGTTTTATTAAATTTTCTTCATTTTTGTAAGTTGCCTTGAGTCCTAATCTGGGAGAAAAATAAATAAAGTGATGGATGAAGGTATGGCTGGATGGATAGGTTTTTATTTTATTTATCCCGCTTTCCTATAAGAATATATTCAGAACAGCTAACAAAACATATTAAAATGATTAACAATAAATTGCAGAACTGTAACAATATATACAGTCATCCCTCCCAATTTGCCAATTCATTCTGGATTCCCCCCCCCCCCCCCCACGAATTAGGAAAATCGCAAATACCCAAGCCCCATTGATTGCAGTGGTAACACACCCTGGGTGCATGCACCATTTTGTCCCTTCCCGCTTGCTGTGCGTAAAGGACTGAGACCGTATCTTCCAAGTCTGTGAATGGGGATGGACGAGTGCAGTTAAATGAAAGTTTGATTTCAGAGACAAAGTACCGGTATCTCTGAGTACCAGGAGCTGATGATCAGTAAGAGAGGACATGCAACACCATCATGACTGTTTCTAAACTATAGTTGCCTTTCCCAAACATGGTCCCTCCAGGTTCATGGCTACAGTTCCATCATCCCAGCCAACTGCCCAGTTTTATGGTGACTAGAATAATGGGAGTTGTAGTCTGGCACTTTTGGAAACTGCTTGGTTGGGGAAGGTTATTGAAAAGAGAATGGAATTATGGACTAGATGAACTTTGCTTTGAGACCTGGTAGGGTTGTTCTTGTACTCACTACCCTGGGAGTCCTGTTGCCTTCATGTCAGGCACAATTATTTCTCTAAAAAATGCTGGCTTTCATAAGAATTCATGCATGATGATGGCAGGTTTTAGAGCTGTTAAAGAGGTTTATTTTTATTTTTTTAGCAGCAAACTGTTTAAAGAAAATTGAAGCAAACTTCTTCACAAACAATAAGATTTTTAACAACACCTTATTTTTTTACAATTGACAATTTTCCTGTCACGGGTAGATGAATATTTGCCACTTTTTTATACAATCAACTCAAGTGACTGTAGGCTTCAGACTGCACACCAGTGACAATGTCAGACTGAAGACAGAACAGGTTGATGCTAAATTGTGTCCAAAAAAGCTTATGCTAGAAATTTCTTCAGAGTGAGTTTGAAAGAAGCTTCTGAGTCCCTTTATGTCTTTTTATTTCATTGCTTCTGTATCATATACAACATATTC